GCGCGCAGGCCAGGAGGGGCCCTAGAAAGGAGGAGGGGACGTGGGGTCTGTAGCTCACCCGCCACCGCACCTCGAGGGAGGGCGCGACCCCACCCACCTCGGAAATGCCCAGATCCCCGGGCTCACGCTGACTGCTTCACAGGACTGTAAGGGTTAGGATTCACTGCAAAAATCAGACCTCCCTTTGTTTTTCTGTGGGTATTCCTGGTTTTCCTTTTCCTAAAAGCACCAGTTTGAACTTGTAAAAACTCAAAGTGCTTTGACAGCAACTGCAAGTGGTTCTCCTTGACTTGGGCTGCTCTGCACAGGCAATCCTGTCTCACAACCCACCTCCAGTTCTCCGGCTGGAGACAATCTGGGAGTGGAAACTTCTCGGCTGTGCCGGGGAAGACAGGCTCTGAGTGTTCGGATCACCCTTGCAGGTCCGTGATCCCCGCGATCCCCCAGGTTCTCTGGCCTGTGACCAGGGCTCGTTATCTGTGTCCACTCTGGTCCAGGTCTTGTCAAGTGTCTGCAGCTCCAGAGAAGCAGGGGGCTTGCCCTGGTGGGAATCCTGCCCACACTCGCCAGTGTTACCAGAATTGCGCAAGGCGCTTAGGAGAGACCTGCTCATCTTTACTGTCATCACTGTGGGCCCAGATACCTGATTCCCTAAGTGTACATCCCAGATGCAGGGCCCCGAGGGCTCCCAGTGAGACCTGAGCCAGGCCAGGAATATGGAACGCTTCCAGGGCAGACAGTTCCTCTACGTCCTGTCCCCTCCCCAGGGCTATCAGCCTCATTCCACCCCTAGAAAACACGGGAAGGGGTGACTCCAGGCTGAGGAGGAACATGTGTGTCTTTTAGGAAACTGTGACCTTTAAGGATGTGGCTGTGGACTTCACCCAGGAGGAGTGGGGGCAGCTGGACCCCGTTCAGAGGACCCTGTACCGTGACGTGATGCTGGAGACCTATGGGCACCTGCTCTCTGTGGGTAAGGCGGGCGCTGCACAAGTAAACGAGGCTGCCGCCCTGCAGTACCTTCTGCTGTGTGTTTACAGCTCGCGGGAGCCTCACAGGGCTGAGGTGGTGTTGAAATAAGGCATGTCGTGAAGTCTTTCACGAGGAACAGACAGGAGGGTTACTGGCCACACAAGTCCGTGCTTTTCCTCCACGTGCAGGGAATCAGATCGCCAAGCCCGAGGTCATCTCCCTGCTGGAGCAAGGAGAAGAGCCGTGGTCCATGGAGCGGGTGTATCCCCCTCAACGCACCTGTCCAGGTGAGAGCAGGCCCCAGGTGGGAGTGGGGAGCCTTCCTCCAGGCCTCCTTGTTGGAGACATGGGTGAGACCATGAGGACGCCACTGCCTCAGAGATGGCCGCAGCCACTCCTGAGGAGCTGTGTCCCTCGTACTGTTTTCCTGCCGTTGAGTCAGAGCAAGGTGCCCCTCTTTCTACCAGGGTAACTGTCTGTAAGGGTTCCCTCCTCACCCCCGCTCTCCCGTCCGCTCCAGTGCTTCTCATCCTGTCTTCTCTCCCTTTCTCCTGGGTGACTTCTTCTCGTTCACCTGCTTTTTAATTTTTTGTTGTTAAACTTACAGCCTGTAGTCACAGACTGTTCTTTAAAAAAAACAAAACCAAAAACTGGTTTTTTTGTATAGATACTGTATTCACATGGTTAAAAAAGCTCAAAGCTGTATAAAATGTGTAAACTGATAAAAACCCGTACTCCCTCCTCTTGCCCACATTATCTTTATCCCCTACAGACACACACACACACACACACACACACACACACGTACACACAGGTGGCCACTTTCTTTTTACAAAAATCTTTGGGTTGTTTTATTAGTGATTGTCCTGGGAATTGTAATTAACATCCTAATTTATAACAATCTAGCTTGGATTACTATTAGTTTAATTTTGATAGTGTATAAAAACTGCTTCTGTGTAGCTCAGTCCTCCCCCTTTTGCGCTATTATTGTCACAGATTACATTGTACGTTTGTGTCCCTTAACACAGGTTTATAATGATTGTTTTCTGTAGTTGTGTATTAAATCAGATAGGAAACAAACAAAAAATGCCTTTGCACAGCCTTGCCGTGTTACCTGTGTAGTTACCTGTATTGGTGGTCTGTATTGCAAGTTACTGTCTAGTGCCCTTTTATTTCAGCTAAAGAACTTGCAGCATTTCTTGTAGGGCAGGTTTACTAGCAGCAAACCAGAGTTTTCTTTATCTGGGAATGTCTTGATCGCTCCATTTTTGAGGAATAACTTTGCCAGATATGTAATTGATGATTGACACTTTTTTCTCTCCGGCCACCGTGGTCTCTGATGAGGAGGAGGCTGGTGGTCTCGGTGAGGGTCCCTGGTGTGCGATGACTTGCTTCTCCTGCTGCTTCCAGGGTTCTCTCTTTGGCTCTGGGAGTTTGAGAGTGGTGTATGCAGGTGGCCGTCTAGATTGCTGGGAGCGGGGCAGAACTTCTCACAGCTCCTCTGGGCGTCCCACTCCTCCACTTCTCCTTTCACTGTTTTGGTTTGTGCATTGTTTGCTCCGACTGTCTTCCATCATCTCAGACAGTAGCGCCTGTAAGTGTTTGACAAAAAAGTGTTTTTAGGACTGTGCAAGTTCCCAGCAAGCCTTTTGATTGGGGTCTTCCGGGGACCCACCAAGCAGGTCAGGCTTTGGGGAAGCTCCAACTCTGTCCGCTCCTGCCGCGCCAGAGACGCGGGCTGCTGTTTTCTGGTTGCTGCTGCTGAGCTCGGGAGTCAGAGATGGGTTTAGGGTGAGTTAGAATACCACAGAACTCAGCGGTTTTCCTTGAATAAACTCCCCCTGGGTTGCTGCAAGGCTTTGTTAATTTATAGAATTCTGAGGAAATTTATTCTGTCAGTTTTTGCCAGCTTTGTGGTTGCTTTTCCAGAAGGGTGAGATTTCAGAGGTCCTTACTTTGCCATTTTCGCTGAGGTTTTGCCCAGGTTAGTTACTTTCAGTGATTTCTGTTGTTTGTTTCCAGAGTTTCTTTATTCAGCTGCAGGCACATAGGTGTGCGTAGTTACTGTTCACCTTTCCAAAAGTGGGACAGAACACATTGTTCTGCATCATGCTGCTTTTAACTTGACGGTGTGCCATGGCCTCCTCGAGTCCTGAAGGTGGACGTCTTCCCGTCCAGTCTACCAAAACGGGCTTTTGTGGAGTCTTCCCATTGCCCCCATTTAGATCTGAAACCACCCACCAAGGACTCGTGAATTCCAGTAGCTTTAACTGTCCCACCATCTTGCTGGCCAGTCTCTGTAACCATCCTGGGCCCTGCAGCTCCACCGCTGCCATCGTTACACTTGTACTGCCCTGCACACCGATCGGCTGCCTCCTTGATCCCAGCAGAACCAGGAACCCCAGGTCCTCCGGAGATGTGCGTCCGTGGTGCTGGCCGTCTGTGAGCCCTGCGCACCGGACATTTGGAAGCTGCCCTGACTTCCTGCCCTTTCCTCTCTGAGGAGGAGTCTCTCTTCTGTCTTCTGAGGTTTCCTTCCTCTGAAGGGCCACTGTGTCATTCTTCCTCCACCAACATCCCCGCCACGTGCTTCCCCATAAAATCCTAGCTCAGGTTGATGACTGCATTGCCATTTGTTACTAGCTACCTCAGATGTTAACTCTGGATTTATGCCCCTGGAGTCATCCATCACGAGGGCTCTGCCAGAAAACGTACAGTGACTTGAGTTGCCTTTTAAATAACTCAGCTGAGATTTCAAGATCTTCCAATTTTTTCTGTTATTGTTCTCTTTTCCTGACTAGCTCCTACAGTTCTCTCAGCTGGCTTCCTGAAGGCCCCCCTCACATTTCAGCCGCATCGCCCAGGCCTTTGCTCATGCCCCGCTAGCAGGCTGCCTGTGCCAGAGCCACGCTCGGAGACTGAGCTCATGCCATTTCTCTCGTGTGAAACCTGCCTTGATTGTTTCTGTCGGTGCTGGTCTCCTCCGACCTCCCACGTACTTAGCGTCTGCAACCCCACAGTCTGTTCATAGCTGTTCAGATTGTTCTTTCATCGCATAGATTATAAGTTACAGGTGGAGGAGACACTCTAGCTGTGAGTACTGAGTATAAAGCTGGACAGGAATTGCTTATTTGGTCAGTGACTTGGTCAAGTACCATTTTTGAAAGTTTCTACTGGAAGAATTCAAAAGCTGTGTGAAAATCATTCCCTGACATCTACGGGCTAAGTTTGGGATTGGTAATAAATGCCAGTTCTTCAGCAGAGAAGGATCCCTGTTGTAATGGATTTGGGTAGTAAAAAGGGGGCAGTGGTGTATAGTGAAGAAAGAAGAACGTGGAGAAAGAAGACAAGGGTCTAGGTCCTGCTGGGCTGAACAACGACCCCCCACCAAAAATGTCCGCTTCCTGTACTTGTGCATAAGGTGCCTTATGTGGCAAAGGGGGTTTTCAGATGTGAATGAAACCCTGGGTCCTGAGATGGAGAGATTGTCTTGGATTATATGGGTGGGCTCATTGTAATCGTGAGGCCCTCACGAGAGTGAGTCAGGAGTATCAGGCGCAGGTATAACTGACAGGAGCAGAGGTTGGAATGATAGTCTTTGAAGATGGGAGAGGAGCGACAAGCCAAAGAATGCAGGCAACTTCTAATGCTGGAAAAGGCATCAATGAGGATTCTCCCCTGGTGCCTGCAGAAGAAAGCTACCTTGATTTTAACCCAGTAAAAAGCCATCGAGGACTTCTGACCTCCAGCCTGTAAGACAGTGAATTTGTGTGCTCATCAGGCACTGCATGTGTGATATGTGTCACAGCAGCGAGAGGGCACTGATTCAGACCCCTCCCACTGTTGAGGGGCCGACACTCAGCAGTGATGAGAGGTGGCTCCCACGTAATGGATTTGCCAGACCTTTCGCTGGATTCTCCGTTCCATGTAATCCTGGGAAAGGTCCTCTAAGGATAGTGGCAGAGCGGGGGCTTCAATGAGCTGCAGCCTGACAGCCCTTGTGTGTCTGTCTCACCGCGTCCTCCCAGCCTGCAGGTGGCGCTGGTGTGGGAAGCGCTGTAGCGGTGCCCTTAAAGCCTGTGGTGGCTGCCCTGGGGCTGATGAGTTCTGTGTTACTGACGGCACCGCCTGTGGCGTGGGAAATGCTGTGACAGCTCGAAGCTTCTGCTGGTGATGCTTTCTCTTAGCCCAACCCCTTCTTTTTCTGGCAGGTGTCACAGTAGTGGAGCAGTAAGGACCTTATAGCACAGAAATGAATTAGCACACTTGAGTAACTTAAACGTTAGTTGCTGAGGGGCTGGTTGTACATCTTTCTTTTTTTCAAGCCAGTTATTTCTTAGTTTTCACCTGAATTGTAGTAATTGTGTTGGGACCCTCCAGACCACCCCCAGGTTCAGCGATTCACTAGAGGGACTCCCTGGACTCAAACATTATACTCAAGATGATGGTTTATGACCTTTGTGAAAGGACACAAGGCAGCATCAGCCAGGGGAAGGTGCAGGGAGCAGGTCCGGAGGGGACCGAGTGCAGGCTTTCCGCAGTCCTTTCCCAGTCCCTTTGCATAGGACACACTTAGTTCCTTCAGCAAGGAGTTGTGACCGTGTGTGTGGCGTCTCATCGACTAGGGCAGTGTGCCTGAGCCTTGGAGCCAGGTGTTTCCTGGGGGCTTGGCCATTTAGGCACACATGACTGACTGTAATCACGGAGGCTGCAGAACCCTGGAAGGAAAGTAAGTGTTTGTAAATGACGTTGTTTGTACAGACCGTCTAGAGAAATTGGCTCAGTGTGCTTCAAGGCCTTAAGCATGCAAAACTCACATGAGTTAGAACATTCCAAGGTCTCAGTTCCTAGGAGTTGGCCCAGGGAGCCATGAAACAGGCCTTTTTAGCAATGTGCAAAGTTTGAGCAACTCAGGTGTGCAGAGTTAACTCCTTCCTGCACACCCTTATTCTGGTCCTCTTTTCCTGGGAAAATACTCCTATATGGGTTTTATTCGTATTCAGCGCACACTGTAGTCTGGTAACCACTTTGATTCACTTTTTACTCACTATTACAATCTTTCTCTGGGTTGCAAGTCTATTTGGAAACAAGTTCCCACTTGCCTTCTCAGTAAAATGGACAATAAATCTTACCTTTTCCATTTTGCTCTTAGAGGTTCTTTCTCTATGCACTCATGGGTTTTTTTCTGTTTATTTCAGAGTGGATGAGAAATCTTGAAAGCAAAGCATTGATCCCGACACAGAGCATTTTTGAGGAGGAACAGTCCCATAGCCTGAAGCTGGAGAGACACATATGGGATGACCCCTGGCTCTCCAGGTTAGAAGTTCTGGGATGTAAGGACCAGTTAGGAATGTGTCACATGAACCGGAGTACAGCTGTGAGGCAGACGGTCTTCATGCAGAAGCAAGTGCTGTCTCAGAGAAGCTCTGAGTTCTGTGAACTTGGGGCTGGGTGTAGCCAGAGCTTAAACATTGTTCCATCTCAGAAAGTTTCTCAAGTAGAACATTTCTATAAGCCTGATACAAATGCTGGAAGTTGGAGATGTAACTCAGCCATAATGTTCACAGATAAGATTACCTGTGAAAACAGTGAGTGTGACAGAGCCTTCTGCCAGTCCATGCAGCCTGCTCACCCTGCAGGGCTGCACTCTGGAGACAGCCATCTCACGTGTACGGATGCCGTTAAATCTTTGAATCATATACTGCATTTTGGTGACCATATGGGAATGCATACAGGAGAAAAGCTCTATGAATATAAGGAATGCCATCAAATCTTCAACCAGGGCCCATCATTCAGTGAACATCCAAGACTTCATATTGGAGGAAACCAGTATGATTACAAAGAATATGAGAATATCTTTTACTTCTCATCCTTTATGGAACACCAGAAAATTGGTACTGTTGAGAAAGCATATAAATACAATGAATGGGAGAAAGTCTTTGGGTATGACTCGTTCCTTACACAGCACACAAGCACTTACACTGCAGAGAAACCCTACGAATATAATGAGTGTGGGACGTCTTTCATCTGGAGCTCCTACCTTATCCAACATAAGAAAACTCATACTGGAGAGAAACCCTACGAATGTGATAAATGTGGAAAAGTTTTTCGGAATCGTTCGGCCCTTACTAAACATGAACGGACTCACACTGGAATAAAACCCTACGAATGTAATAAATGTGGAAAAGCCTTCAGCTGGAATTCTCATCTTATTGTACACAAGAGAATTCATACGGGGGAGAAACCTTACGTGTGTAACGAGTGCGGAAAGTCTTTCAACTGGAACTCCCATCTCCTCGGGCACCAGAGAACTCACACTGGAGAGAAGCCGTTCGAGTGTACCGAGTGTGGGAAGTCTTTCAGCTGGAGCTCGCACCTCATTGCCCATATGCGAATGCATACCGGAGAGAAGCCCTTTAAATGTGACGAGTGTGAAAAAGCTTTTAGGGATTACTCGGCCCTCAGTAAACACGAGAGAACTCACTCTGGAGCAAAACCATACAAGTGTACCGAGTGTGGGAAGTCCTTCAGCTGGAGCTCCCACCTTATTGCCCACCAGAGAACTCACACGGGAGAGAAGCCCTATAACTGTCAGGAATGTGGCAAAGCCTTTAGAGAGCGTTCAGCCCTCACTAAACATGAAATAATTCATTCTGGAATTAAGCCCTATGAATGTAATAAATGCGGCAAATCCTGCAGCCAGATGGCTCACCTCGTGAGACATCAGAGGACTCACACTGGAGAAAAGCCCTATGAGTGCAACAAATGTGGAAAGTCCTTCAGCCAGAGCTGTCACCTTGTCGCGCATCGGAGAATCCACACTGGCGAGAAGCCCTACAAATGTACCCAGTGTGAACGGTCCTTTAACTGTAGTTCTCATCTCATTGCGCACCGGAGAACTCATACTGGAGAGAAGCCATACAGGTGTAACGAGTGTGGGAAAGCATTTAACGAGAGCTCTTCCCTTATTGTGCACCTGAGGAACCACACTGGAGAAAAGCCCTACAAGTGCAACCACTGCGAGAAAGCCTTCTGTAAGAACTCCTCGCTCATCATTCACCAGAGAATGCACAGCGGAGAGAAGCGCTTCATCTGCAGCGACTGCGGGAAGGCCTTCAGCGGCCACTCAGCCCTGCTGCAGCACCAGAGGAACCACAGTGAAGAGAAGCTCTGTGCGTTGAATTGATGCGAGATGCTCCTTTTACTTACATGTGACCACACGTTGGGAAGCCCTTTAAGCCTAATCAAGAGGGGCGTTTTCAGTAAGACTTGACCCCTCACTAATCAGTAGAAGTTTCCTTTGTAGAAGAAACGTGTGAATGAAAAGAACAGGCAGTGGCCTTCCACCAGGCCTTATTCTGACTTAGAAGCAAACAGTTGCAAAGAACAAGTCCCCAGACTCCCCTCATGACCTGCCGGAGGTCCTGCCTGAGGAGCACGGACGTAGGGAGTGAGACGCCGGCTAGTGAGAGATCTCTGCCCCTTGTGGGTCAGAGCGTGCTGTTAAGGGTGGAACTTTCTCCTAGGGAGCGTTTCAACTAGAAATGCACTGTTTTGTGTCAGGCTGCGGTATTGGATGGAAGCATCACAATAACGTTTTGTCATTATGGAAACAGATTTTCCTCTTAAAAGGGGTAGGTTCTGGGTGCCCTTTAGCGAATAGAATATGGAAAACTAAATCTGACTTTAAGAAAAAATAATATTGAATGGGATGTTTACTGATGATCAAGATTAACCTTAGAAAAGCTTAGTGGATGAGATTACTAATGATGGAAATGTCATTGCCCAGAAGGATGAAACTGATGCTGTTGAAACAGGAGGTGGTGCTTCGTAGCTCACTGTGTCAGTGTCCTCGGTTTGTGACTCACTCCTGCGTTGCTGGACAGGTAGTTTGTCATTTGTTTCAGGCAATCACTGTGAGTTATGATTATGGACACTGCATCAGTATCCGTGACACGAAGGAATAAAAAGGACACAAAATTGTTTATAAATATCTACTATAACATCCAGAAAGTGTATATGGAAAAGGACTGGAGAGACCCATGGATAAATTAACCCAGTTAATTTAAGATTTTTTTAAAGTTTTACAAACACAGCACTTACCGTGTGCTAGGCTTTGTTTTAAACGCTCTTCGAATATTAACTTGTTCGGTCCCCTTAGTTCTCTGAGATAGGTACTGTCACTATCCCAGCTTTGCAAATGGAGCAACCGAGGCAGAGGTGATGAGAAACCTAGCTAGGGACACACAGTAAGGAGTGGAGCTGAGATCGTTTGGCTCCAGAGCTCATGTTTTTAACCACTATGTTATGCTGCCTCTGCAGTGATTTTTTCCCCCTAATGTTTTTTTAAAAAAAATTTGTTCAGTGTTTCTATAGTAGATATTTGATAATAAAAATCAAATTCCTAAACAATGTGAAATAAAGGTACCTGGCTCTCTGTCCTGCTGGATTTCTGCTAAAGACGAGAGCTGAGCTCCTTTTGGAAAATGAAGTCTGGATTGGACGTTCGGAATCACTGCATTTCTGAGACCTGGGTCTCACCACCTACACCCTGAGGATTACAGCAGAGCCAGGGCTGGAGGACTCACCGAAGGTTTGGGCAAGTCAGAGGAGTGCCCCTCGTGAGGCAGAGGGCGGGAGACACCTCTGCCGGGGTGGGGGTGGGGTACCGTTTCTCAAGGTCTCCCTTGAATTCAGTGATTATGTTTTCTTTAACTTCTCCATTTGAAAAGATCGTTTGATAGTAGGGAAGATTCAGAAAGGGAGGGAGCTGATGGGTCCATAACAAAGTGAGGAAGTTTCTCTGAGTGCTCAGAGGGGAGCGGGGATAGGAGGGGATGGACAGCGGACCCAGGTTGTCTGATTTGGGGGCCCCGGAGGACTTTGTAAGCCATGCAGTGCTCCACAGGCATCCCGGCAAGTTCCCGTGTGACTGTATTACCAGGCCTTCTGTCTTTTAAGAAGCATTTCTGAAGGGGCCTCCTGGATATCTACAGGGCCCTTCTAAAAGGGTCCGGGACCCTGCTGCTTCCGGGGGAGTTCCCTGCCTCCTGCCTCCTGCCTCACAGCCTTGTGTGTGTCCAGGACTCCCGGGTCCCCTCTGACACCCTGACTTGAACCCACATGTGCTCAGTTCATTGCCTTCTGACCCCCGTTCCACCCTCCCTGACTCTGAACCTGCCGGGCGGGGTGGGCCCTCTCCGTTCAGCCGTCAGGACTCTGCCTTGACCTTCCTGCTGTGGCTGGAAGCTGGGTCTCCCCTCTGCAAGGCACCGCTTAGCGATCCTTCCAGGGAGGGGCTGCCTTCTCTCTGTCTTCTTTACTTGCTGCTTCTGGACTGTTCTTCCTCCCTCCCCTGGAGCTCAGTCCTAACCCAGGGGACACCAGGCCCTCTCGTCACTCCTGCTCCCCTTGTCGCCCTGTGAGTGGGTCACTCGCCCACGAAGGGTTCAGCTCCTGCTCTGCGGGACCTGCAGTGACCCCCATCATAATGCTTCCTGATCCCTGTGTCCATGTGGACACTTTCCCTGTGTTCTGCCCTCACAGCTCTTTGACCCCCCTGCGCGTGGTTTTGTGATCCGCCCTGCAGCGGCCGGTCACTCCCAGGGCCATCCCTGGGGCCATTCCGTTACCGTGATGACACCCACGCCCCCGTCTGTTTCCAGCACCTCTTCCTGAGCTAGTCGGCTGCTTAATACCAAGGTTCCAGCAGTCCCTTGGCTGAGCCTCTCACACTCAACCCCAGTGGATGGCTTTGCTTCCTGTTTCCCCGGGACAAGAGACGCCGTCAGCGGAGGCCTTCCGCAGCATCCTTCCTCCGCCTCCCCTGGCCTCCCACGGCGTCGCGCCAGTGCCTGTGTGTGGAGCGGCTGGGTCGGCACCAGAGCCCTGACCGCTGCCCCCGGACGCCCTCCCGCAGGCGTCCCTTACTCTGGTATCATCGGGCTTTCCCTGTACTGCGTTCTTCCCATCGACACATGCACATACTTAAAAAGAAAAACCACCTCTTGTTCCTATGTCATTCTCTGCTTGGTTTCAAAAAGCAGGACGTCTCAAGAGCTGTGTGTCCTTGCTGTCCCCACTCCCTTTCCATTCTTTCCTGAGTCCCGTGGTTGGTTCTGTCTTCTTCCCAGACGCCGTCATCAGCATCTCAGACTCTCAGGCAGTGGATCATGTCCTCCTCGAAATACGTTCACCTGGCCTTGGGGACTTGCCTCCTGCCCCTCTGGCCTTCATTTCAAGTCCCCTTTGCTGTTTCCTCCCACCGCCCTTACCTCTTAACTGTCAGGCTGCCCGTTTCCCATCTGCTCACACTGCTTTCACCTCATCCCGTCTTGAGGCTCTGCACGCACCACTGGTAGCTGACGACTCTCCCTGTCAGGCTGCAGTTCCAGGAGTTTTGAAAAAGCGCCTACACCCTTGTAACCACGACTACAATAAAAATAGAGACTATTTGCCCTTCTCCAAAGAGCTCCCTCGTGTCTCTTCACAGGTAATCCCCAGCCCTACCCGGCAGCCACGCGGCTGCCTTGTCAGTGCATCTCAGAGCTTCATGAAAACAACCGTACAACATTCTGTGCACATGCGACCTTTCGTGTCCAGTTCTTCTGCAGAACGTGGGGGCTCGTCCTCGCTGTCGGGTGTGGTTTACCCTTTCTTTGCTGAGCGGCAGTCCGCCATGTGGGCGGGCCACCGCAGGCGGTCGTCCAGTGCGCCTGGGGGTGGGCAGCCCTGGGCTGCTGTAAACGCTGCTGCTGTGGGCATCCTTCAGGCCTTCACCTACCTTGGGTAAAAACCTAGGTGTGGACTAGCTGGGTTGTGTGGTAAGTATGTGTTTAACTTTGTAGACTCTTCTATGGGCCTTTTAATCTTGTGTCTTTGTTCTGTTTTACATTCTGGGAAATTCGTCTCTCTTGTTAATGTTTCATCCTTTCTGTTTGAAACCTGTCTCTTTTTAGGACTCCTGTTATTTAGCTGTTAGTGTGTTTATGTCTCTCACCTTTGCTTGTCTGCTCTCTCACTGCTCGTCCTTCCTTCCTTCTGTCTGGACTTCCCCTCAGTTTACTCCTTGTTTCCTCTGTTGTGTCTGCAGCGACTGTCTTATGTACATAGTATTTCTGCTTGGTCCTTTTGTGTGTAGTTCTCATTTCCTGTTGCTAATACCATGCCTTCTCTTTAAATGTGCTTGATTGACTGACTTAAAATTTTGGTCTGTCTGTTCTAATATACGTGCTTCTGATGGAATCTGTAGTCCAGTGTGTTGTTTTTCTTTTGAAATAGTTATGCTCAGAAAATCGCTCATTTCTTGGCCCGTGAGCACATTTGTTTCTCTCGGGATCATTGCTGCTCCATCAGTGTGTGTGCATACACAGGACAGGATCAGATCCTGGCCCCTATAAGCCCCACTGAGCTGAGGGCTGGAAGGACGGAAGCTGGGTTGGGGAGGTGAAGGCGCCACCTCACAAGATAACGAGGTTCCTCTGAAATGGGGTTCACCAGCCCAGGGCTGAGGAGGCAGGGTGGAGAAACGTGTGGAGAAACATGTCCTGCTGTGAGGTAGTCTCTGCGTGTTTGTCAGCTGCTCCTAAGCGCAGGCTGCCGCCCGGCCTTGACTCCACGCCTCAGGGAGCCTGGGCTTCAGCTGGGGACAGACACCGTCTGTGTCAAGGCAAAGGCCAAGGAGAAGCAGGGCAAACTCCAGAGGCTTCTTTCCTGTTCTTAGAGCCAAGCCGTGTGCTGCCTCCTGCCTCAGCCACCCAGCCCCGCACTCTAGTTCAAATGAGAGGTCAACCCGGGTCTTCCTAACAGTTTCTGATATTCCCTCATCTTTTGCCTCTTAAGTTACGCGTGGCTGTTTCTCAGCTGCCTGTGACTGAGCTGGCTTGTGGCACCCAGAACTGGAAACCCAGTTGTGAATCCTTTTTAAGTGAAGGTCTGTAGGAAGGTACTGGAGTCCCCATCCCAGCTGCCTCTCCTTGTGCTCAGCTTCTCCACAGAAGCAGCAAGCGCCACAGGCAGGCCCAAGGCCACGGGGCTCCGGTCCAAACGGCCGCTCCCTGCTATTCGTGACCCCCCTCCCCTGCGCTGCTCATCTGCTGTAAGTGCTCATGACACGTAGCAACTGCAGGCGCGCTGTTTAATCTGACTTACTTAGCATGTTTCTCTTTGTTGCTTGTTGCTCTTACTAGACGCGAGCTCCAGGAGGGCAGCGATTCTCACTCGTCTGGGACCTGGAACTGCTGGCCCACAGCGGGTTTGGTTCTCAGTGAGCATGGGGTGGACAAATGGCCAAACCAGCACTACAGTTTTTCCCAAGGCACCAAACTCAGTCTCTAAAGACCCTCCCGTGTTATTAGGACAACAGAGGGGTCCTGATAGAGTCCAGGGAGGGCAATCCAGGCGAAGGGAAGAAGGTGGGGCTTGGATTTGTGTAGCGCACACAAGGGAATTGTGGGTGAGGTTGATCTGGATTTTGGATAATTGGAAAACAAGCCTCTGTGTTAATGGACCTCGTGGGTGCTGTGCTTTCTCCAGTTTATTTACTGGATGTTATTCTTGTCCAGTGAATAAAGCAGCTGGACTAGGAGGCCTTGACTCATGCTTTTGAAACTTGGTGTAAATTGGATGGGGACTGCCGTGTGGCCGTTCACAGCCTCAGTGGGTCTTCTGGTGTCTCAGCGCGGCCAGGGGTGCAAACATCCTGATAGAGGGCAGCGGGGGAGACCTTCCACAGTTAACATTCTAGGTAAATGCTTGTAAGCAAGTCTTCCACAGTCCTGATGTGAACAGCCCAGTTGTAATCATCCTAACATGGAACGTTGTCATTTCTAGTTCTTTCGCAGAGTCGGGTTCACTACTCAGCACAGAAGTTGAGTGTGTACCATCACAGTGCATAGCTCACTGATATTAGAAATAGAGATGGGGGCTTGTGGGGGTCGGGGAGGGTCATGAACTCCAGGCTCTTTCAGAAACCAGCTATGAGGATAGCAATGACTTGGAGCTGATTTCATCTCGCGGCTGCAACTTGGGGATAAGTCCAGAAGCAGAACAGAAGCAGGTAAGTTCTGCAGTGTGAACGGCTACACCTGGTTCACCAGCACGAGGAAAGAGCATCGGGAAACTGCGCTCCAGCGTGTGTTCGCTGGTCCGTCTGTGCCTTCAGGAAACCCTCCTGGAGGGGCTGGGGTACGGAGTCCTGGGCCAGGCCCTGCAGATGCCCTCAAGGAGCCACAGTCCCATAGGTGAGACATTGGGTACACTGGTGGGGACAGGTCGGGGTGTCTGGGCCACAGCATGGGCTTCAACAGGGGTGATGGCAGCACCAGCGCAGGCACTGCAGTCAGACCAGGGAGTCAAGGAGGGCCTTCCGGGGAGGTGAAGCCACTTGTTACTCCTGTCCATGGCCACAGACTAGCAATGAAACCACCAGCCATTTCCACTGTTCTGGGATTTTCCAGAGAGAAAAGACACACTTGCATGAACATGAGACACTGCAGAACATCAGACTCAAGGCTTTGTTCAGCAGAAAGAGGCGAGTACAGTTGTCCACTCTGGAGCCTGCTATGGAGACGGCAGAGGGTGGGGTGATGCTCATCAGGAGAACAGGGAGAAAGCTGGGGAGACGCTCGGGTCAGGGAGCAGTAGAGCAGCGAGCTAGCTCTGTCCCTGGCTTGGGGACTCGCCCCGCCAGCTTCAGTTCCAGCCCGCGGTGGAAACGCCTCCTTCTGCAGCCGCAGGGGCCACCCACGTGCTGGAGTCTTGCTTCCTCCCTGCCCTCCCCCTCCTCCAGCCTACTGTCTCAGCCCCTGCTTTCCCTCCACAGCCACTCCGCCCAACTGGGACTTCCAGCAGGAAGGATGGCCGCTGCTCCCTGCTGTGGGACAGACGGGGTTCATCACTTGTTTGCTCAACACACGTTTACAAAATGCCTGGATTGTGCCAGGTGTTGTGGGGAGACTAGGACACAGCAGCAACAAAGCAGCACCCTGCGTTTGTGCAGCTGGGACTCTGGTGAGGGCAGTCGGACAGTGGCACGTACGTACACGCGATGCTGTGAGTGAAGAGAAAACAGGGAGAGCACGTCGGGGTGGGGGTGTAGCTCGGTGGTGGAGTGCATGCTTGGTGTGCGCGAGGTCCTGAGCTCAATTCCTAGTGCCTCCGCTAAGGGGAAATCTCCAGTGCCTCCATTTAAAAAAAATTAAAAATGAAAATATATATTTAAAAAAATAGGGAACTACATTAAGAAAGAGATGGAGCAATGCCAGTGGGAAGAAGAGTAAAACAGAAAGACTAGATTCCACAGAAAGACTGTCCCCTAGAGGCATTAGCAGAGTTGCAAAGTGGGGGCTGGTACTTGGAGTGCAAGACAAGAGTGGTATCCTCAACAGGGAATGGGATACTGATTTAAAGAGGAGCCTGGCATCTCTGAGACTAAGGGCAGAGAAAGAGAAGATGGTGGGGAAATCGAAAGCCCTGAAAACCCTGAGGTGGGCCCCAGAAAAGGGGTCGGCCTGGTCCTCAGAAGAAGAGGCTCTGAAGAGAACATTGGACCTCAGTGTCTAAAGACCCAGCCCTCATCAGCAACATATGAGGAAAGAATGGCTGGAAATTGCTCTGAAGTGCTGACAGACACCAACTACAGCAACACATCTGATCAGCCCCACCTGGTCAGGTCACAGACAAGCTGCTGCAGCCAGTGAGATGGCCCTGAAAACACTCACAGGAAGAGACACCTTAACCTTAAAGGAGTGACATGGCAGCTGACTTCCCGTGGGAAAGGATGGAAGCCAGCTGGCGATGGGGTGACACTGAAGGAAAACAAATGCCGTCTTCACCAAATATGATGATGAAGAAGAGATTCAGATGGACCAAAGTGGTGGGGTTTTTGCCAGCGGATCAACACTAATAAATACTGAAGGTGGTTCTCTGGGCAAGGGAAGGTCATTGAGACAGAAACAGGAAAATGCAAGAAGCATGAAGAGGAAAAGCACATACCTTCATTACCAGCGATCTCACAGTGCCTGGCGGGGCTGGCCCTTCCTCCTCTTGTCAACATTTGGGTCTCTGCTCCTAGATAATATCCTGAGACCCACCCTCCCCGCCCCACACTCTAGACCTACAGTCAGTGCATCCTTCCCTTCGCGGTCCGTCTCATTGCACATGCCGCTGACGTTGCCTTGTCCACTTGTCTCCTTCCTCATTGTCCACACCTCCTTCCAATACCGCACTCGGCTGTGAGCCCCATGGGGGTGGGGATGACGCTGGCCCTAGTCGTGCTGAGCCCCTGTGCCCGCACGGCACCTATGGCACTGAGAGTGCTTGAGACACACCAGCATGTGGTTGACTGAGCTTCCCAGCAGCCCGACCTCATCAGGTGGGGCGGCTGTGAGTTCTCCTCATCCAGGGTCTCCCGACCATGGGGAGGAGACAGGCTGACTGTGAGGTGGGGCCCACGGGGAGAAGGGCTCTGCACGTGGAGGCAGGTGGTCCACAAACCCTGTGTGTGGGAGAAGGACGAGTCAGAATGCTCAACTGTAGAGTGGGGCGTGGGGGGTGGAAGTCACAGAGTCGGTTAATCAGAGAGGCAACAAGTCAGCCTCACCTGTGGACAGCGGAGAGCGGGGGAAGGGGCGTGGGCAATGCAGAGGGGCCCCAGCAACACAGAGACTGGGTCGTGAATGTCAGGGCTCAGCCTGGGTTTCTCTGCAGGTGCTGATCTGTCTCCCGTGGCAACGCCTCCCTTGTGACATCACAGAGACAAAATCCCTCTCAGGTGGAGCAAGTAGTGCTCAGTGAGCAGCGCCCATGCTCAAGGTGGGTCCTCGTGGTGGGAGTATTTATGCCCCAAAGAGGGAGGGTCTCAAAGGTGGAGAACTGGGGGCAGGGAACATGATCAGGTTTGCCAACCAGAAATCTCTATGTTTGCCCTTGCTTCCCAAACTCCAGAGCCTAAAAGTCACTCGGGGTGTTCTTAAAAATACAGACACCCCCCCTCACTGTGGCCCCAACCCCGATCCACTAGACCCAGAAATCTGTATTGTCGGCCGAGCTCTGGGGATTCTTGTCATCCTGGGAGCAGACATCCAGTGGGACCCGGCATGGTTTCCACCACATGGAAGGAAGCCAGCCTGACTTGGGGTCATTTTAGGGCCACCTTGGGCAGGGCCAAGCAAGGTGCTGGGGACTCTAACCTGGCCCCATGTGACAGTGACACCGTTGGAGGAACAGGTGGTGGTCTAGGCTTCATGTGGCCGTGGGAGGCCATCCTAAGGTCCTCTCCAGAGGACTCGGGGATAAAGGAGACCTGAAACCTGGAGGATGAGAGGTGACGACGTTGAGCTCCAGGCTTCTGGAACACAGAGGCAGTTAAATCCCTCTGACCTTTTGTGTTCCAGGAAATGGCTCGCTGCCAAGGACCGTCCTTCCCCACAGGACTGATAAGGCTCTCAGGGACCCCTCTTCTGCACAGGGCAAGGCCGGATCCAGACTCCAGATTTCCGTTGTCTTTCTTGGAAGTGGTTAGCGAGACTGTCCACTCTGATCAATCCGAACAAAAGTCTGTAATCTCGACTTCGCCAAACTTTGGTTCAGCTTCTTTCCTCCCCAAAGACCCCAAAGACCCTCGAACTTTGACTGACTCCTGAGGTTGAACAAGCATTAGGGTGCAGAACAGCGGCTGCCTCTAGAACTGGCCGACAGCAGGCGTCTCCTCTGATCTCCCGCTCCCCACACCCGGTTCTTTTTAGCCTTGTTCATGCCTCCCCGTGAAGGCATGTTCCTCTCTGCCCAGCCTTGGGGGTGCTGGCAGACAGCGCCCTTTCCTTACAGGACTCATATTTCTGAATAAAGTCTTTCCTGACCGAAGACTGGTTTTGTTTTCCATTTGGCAGAAGTTGGCTCCAAGCCCTGGTGCTCAGTCTGCTCAGAATCCAAAGCTGGAGGAATGAGTTCTCAGAGCCCTGCTGAGCAGCCCAAAGACTTGCCCGAAGGCTGGGTTTCTGCACCGGCACCACTGAGCATCTACCCAGGAAGGACAGAAGATGCTTTTGTGTTTGAAGGGGCCTGGTGGCTGCTGGGCGGGCAGTGAGCTGGCGGAAGCAGCTGCTACCACAGGAAGACAGGCATGGAGACCTCTGGTCACTCAGCGAGAGATGGCCGCTTGGACCAGTGTAGTGCAGGGGCTGTGCAGAGCAGTGATGAAAAGGTGCTCAGTGAACCTTGGAGCAGAGAAACACGAAGAAACCACAGTGTTACAGAGAAAGTACTGAAGCCCAAGAGAAAAGGTCGCGGTCACGCTGGAGAAGCTTGGATCTGATTTGTGTTCCTTCCGGTAATAATTGAAAATTCCTAACCTTGAGCAAAAAAATTAAGGCACCTGGAGAACAGCCAGAGCAGGGAGAGACTGGTGGACCCCATCCTTGAAGAAGGAAACTGTCCCAGGTGAGATCCACACAGGAGGTCGGCTGCCCAGGAGGTGTGCCTTCTGGGCTTGTAGTCCATGGGCGACACTTAAGAGCATCCAAATTCAGTGGCTTTTTCCATTTTAAAAAAAAATAATACCTTTGATAGGGAGGGGAAAGTTAGGGGTACTGGATTAAGAGGGACAAACTACTATGTATAGAATAAATGAGCTGCAAGGATACATTGCACATTGCAAGGGATACAGCCAATGTTTTAGAATCGGTGTCTTTGTTTTCTATTTTAAAAATAACTTTAAATGGAGGTATAATCTATAAAAAATGTGAATCACTGTGGTCTACACCTGAAACTACTGTAACATTGTAAATCAATTATTCCTTAATTTTTTTTGGGGGGGGAGGGAGGGTAAATTAGGTTTTTATTTATTTATCTTAATGGAGGTACCGAGGATTGAACCCAGGACTTTGCACATGCTAAGAACACACTGCACCACTGAGCTATATATACCCCTCCCCCCAAACCTTAATTTAAAAAAAGCTTGAGTTGCCAAGCCATGAAAAGACACGGAGGAACATATTACTATGGGTCATGTTAAATATGTATTAATTAGTGAAAGAAGCCAGTCTGAAAAGGCTACGTGCTGTATGAGCCCAACTCTCTGATGTTCTGGAAGAGGGAAAACCCATGAGGGCAGTAAAAATGCCAGTGGCTGCCAGAGGGTGTGGGGAGGAGGGCAGGACGAAGAGGTGGCACAGCGGATGCTTCCAGCAGAGCAGCTGTGCTGTGTGACATTTTATAAGATTGGGATTCATGTCATGGCACCTTTGTCAAACCCCACAGAATGTCTAATGCCGAGAGTCAGCCCAACAGAGGCTAGGGACTTTGACCATGATGTGTCGGTGTGGGCGCAGCAGCCGTGACAATCTCCCTGTCTGGTGCAGGGTGTTGATAATGGGGGTGGCTGCGTATGCGTGTGTGTGTGTGTGTGTGTGTTTGTGAGTGAGTGTGCGTGAGGGGCAGGGCACGTGGGACCTCTGCTGTGAACAAAAGCTACTCTTAAAAACAGTCTGTTCTGAAAAAACAATAGCTTTTTTGAGACAGTCGCAGACCATGACGTTAACCGTTTTACAGTGGTTTTCGGTGCGTTCACATGTTGTGCCTGGATCATGACTGTCTAAGTGCAGAACATCCACCACTGCGGAAGGAGCCCATTAGCAGTTACTCCACCCCCTGCCCCTCCTCCCCCAGCCCTCGGCAGCCTGGCGGTCCACATTCTGTCGCTGTGGACTTGCCTGTTTCAGACCTTTCACAGAAATGGGAGGACGTGCCGTGTGGCCTTAGCACAGTGTTTGCACACAGTTCATCAGCACTGCACGTACGGTGGGTGAGCAATCTTCCACCACACGGTCATACCACGCTGTGCTTGTCCATTCATCGGTTGCAGGAACTTCGGGTTTATAATAACTTTTTGGGTACTATAAATAACTCTATGAACACCACTCTGTGTTCTCTCAGGTGATGGTCCATCAGGTGCCCTGAGAAGAGGAGCCACAGGGGAGGAGCACCCAGGGAGGGGCTCAGCCCAGCAGGTGGGGAGCAGAGAGCGAGGACAAGCCCACAGGTGAGTGCTTCTATTAGGGGACCAGGGAGTCCCCAGGAATGGCCCGTGGAGTGGCCACTGCTGCATCCGAATGTCACTAGGTCACATTTACAGGAGAGCAAAGGGGGGACCCTTGTGACAGCCGGTCAGCCTCATCACTTGGGCCTGGGTTTCTGAGCATAGGTACCCCAGAGGTTTGAGGTGCACTGAATTGCGAATTTTTTGCAAATATTGTAGTCTCGCATATTACAGCGAGAACTCATGTCCAGTGCCCACACTGGTTTTGAGCTTTGCGTGGGTTCCGTTACTCAGCCATCGCTGTGACCCCGTGAAGTAGACATTACTTCTTCCTCCTGTTTCACCGAGGAGGATACTGGTGCTTGGAGAGGTTAAGTAACTGGATTGGCTCCAGCACCTGGGAAGCCAGAGATGAGGATCTTTTCAGGCGTTTGACCACAGAGCCCGACTGCATTCTGTTTGTGTCACAAGGACTGATAATTGACTTCCTCTGCCTCCTCACTGATCCATGCACTTTCTGAGGGCAGGGACCCGGTCATATTCATAGCTGTACCCAAAACCTTAGCCTGACTCCCAGCACCGGCCCCCACATTCTGTGTCCCCCCATTGGCTGACTCGGTTCCATGAGAGAATTCCCCGTGGCAGCGTGTGCTGACCTCACACTGGTGGCTCCAAGTCAGGACCCAGACATTCTGTAGGTAGAAGACCTTCATTCCTCAGAGAAACACAGGACTGATGCTGGAAAATGTCTAAATACTTCCTCTCCCCCATGTGGTAAAATAATGAACAATTTGGGATGATGGACAAGGTTCAAAATTCTTTCATCTTTTTATTTTTATTTTTAATGGAATGCCCCCTTCATTTATGCTTGCCTTATGCAGGTGAGTTCAAACCAGCCGACTAAGCAGTGGGCTCAAGGGGTGGCTCCCACCGTGGTTTTCATTTCCATCAGGGGGAGTAGAGTGGGGTCATTGCATTTCACTGCTACAGGTTTTCTCTTCAAGGCTATCGACAGGCACAGGCACCCACAAAAGTCACCCAGCGGCCCACGCTGCCCTTTACGGAGATTCTCCTATCTCAGGTTCAAGGGCCTTTGGTCCAGTTCCGAGGTGAGTCCTTGTGGTTCCTCATCCAGTGCAGTGAGAACACTAGTCTGGGGCCCTCTCTCCTACTAGACCACTGTCTCCCGAGCCTGGCAGTAGCCTGGCCACAACATAATATGGTGAGGGAAGCACTGCTTCGAAGTGAGTTGCTCTGTTCTTCACTCTGTCAGCTGGCAGATCGCAGGGCTGTCTGCCTCTCTGCCCTGATGGGAGCCCAGCCCTGCCACTCTGTGCTGACTTCCTCCAGGCCCTCAGCTTGGGAGGGATAGGGGTGCTTCCCAGCGACTGCAAAACTAGGCCAGAAACCAAGTGCATTATGTTCTTAAGGGTGCATATTCCTGAAAGGAGACACTAGGTGCCGGCAGAGCTCCTTGCTCCTGCAAATTAAGCCCCATGTTTCTACCAGGCATTGGAATAATTTTATTAACAACATTTACCATCTTTGCTGTTTGGGTTTTTTTACTTTGACAATTACTTTCTATTTTTATTTTTAAAATTTATTTTTAGTTATTTTTTGGGGGGTGAGGTAATTAGGTTTATTTATCTACTTATTTATTTAATGGAGGTACTGGGGATTGAACCCAGGACCTTGTGCATGCTAAGCATGTGCTCTACCACGAGCTATATACCCTCCCCCAAATATATTTTCTTAATTATTAAATTTTTAAAAAATTATTATTTTTTTATTTGGGGGTAATTAGGCTTATTTATTTATTTATTTTAGTGGAGGTACGGGGGACTGAACCAGGACCTCCTTGTGCTAAGCATGTGCTCTACCACTGAGCTTTATCCCCCTTAACATTTACCATCTTAACTAGTCGTTTTTTTTATGTTGACAATTACTTTTTTTATTTTTAAAATTATTAATTAATTTATTTTGGTGGGGGAGGTAATTAGGTTTATTTATCTGTTTATTTAATGGAGGTACTGGGGATCGAACCCAGGACCTAGCACATGCTAAGCACGCGCTCTGCCACTGAGCTGCACCTCGCAGCCTCATCTTGCCCATCTGGAACGGCCCCTCGTCTGACACCAGGGCAGATCCTTATTCCCCTACATCTGTCTTAGACCCCTCTCTTCTTCCTGGTCCCCTTCTACTTCCAGCACGAACCGCGACGGCGCCCGCGCGGTCCCCGCAGCCTGAGGGTGAGTCGGGGGGCGGGGCGGCCGCCGACGCTCCCAGCGCCGTCGTGGGTGTCGCTCCGGGC